AGAAGGAACTCTTCTTGGCCTCGCTCCTGGGGACCGCCTTGCTTATGCTTCGGCTCCTGGCTGCCGATACCTCTGTTTTCTGCTAATCTGAAACCTCCTCAACTCTCGAGGCCCCTTGCTGGCACCGTCCCAGTGAGTTCCAGCTGACTCCATCCCCACTTTGCTTTGCTGCCATGGCTCGTTACTGGTAACGCCACATGACCCTCATGTCACTGGGCCACATGGACCACCCTGTCAGCTGCTCTGGAGGCAGCAGGAGGGTGGAGATGGGGCCTCACTCTCCCGGCAGCCTGGGGGCAGACAGGCCTGAGGGGGGTTCCTGCAGAGCCCATGGTGAATGTGGGCAGACACCTCACTCCCGCAGGTTCCTGGTCTGGCTCGGTGCTCTCTGACCTGCCTGCCTGGACACATGCTCTCCCTTCTCCAGTAGTGAGGATGAGGATGGAGGACAGTGGTGGACGCTGACTGGGGGTGCCCGCTCACTGGGTGGGTCCTCTTGCTCACTCAGCTCCAGAGGGAGCACTGCGCACCTGTGCCCAGGTCCTGAGAGTGGACCAAGGTTGCCTGCTTGATTCTGACACAGAGAGAGGGTGGCACTGGCTGGCTGAGACCTGAGCAGTGCCCCAGCTATATCCAGGCTCTCTCGTCTCAGTGCCAATGAGTGCAGTAAAGGCCAGGGTGAGGGGTCCCCTCGGAGTCCGGCCTGGTGTCGGGCAGGAGCTGGCACTGAACAGAGACTGCAGCTGCCTGTGGACAGGAGGGAGCGGCCGCACTCACCTTTCTTCATGTCTCGGAAGGGTGGGTGGTTGTAGCAGTAGGGGCACAGTGGGTAGCTCTTGCCCCGGGAGCCTGACGACCACAGGACCAGCTCAAAGTCGTCCAGAGGGCAGCGGAGCTCCTTGTAGAGTTTGATGGTGCCATTTTGGGGGAGTGTGTAGGTCTCGTCGCAGTGGGAGCAGTGTAGGCGGCTTGGCTTGGCCTGCGGTAATGCCAGGCAGGGGGTGTGAGGGTCACTGAGGCCACCGACTTGGCCCCTGCCCCAACTCCTCTCATAATACACAATATGTGACCTGTCGTGCAGAACCTGTGACATGCTGCCAGGCAAGGACCCCGAGTCTCCGGCCCTTGCCCCAAGCATGCAGAAAGGCAGTTTGAAATCCCTGTGCATATGTCAATGCCCACAGTGGCAAGTGGCGTGCTGTTAGGAAACGTACCATGTTTGTGTAGCCTAATGGCTGTGTTTCAGGGGTTATGGGGACACTGGACATTTTTTGGCAAGGCTGCTTTATGCTCATTCTTGTGACAATCATGACAAAGAATATAATTCCTATGTGACCAACGATAAAGCTGAAGCCTACAGGGGTGAGGCAGCTTGCCCGAGTCAGTGCTCCATGCACCTACCTGGATGTACTTCATGAAGCGGTGGCACTTCCCGCAGTGTGACAGGGGCTTGCCTGTGGCCGCCAGGGGTGAGAAAGACACCTCCATTAACTCATCCATGCCTGCAGGCAAGCAGAGTGCAGAAGTCACCTCTCTCATAGTCTCTGGCAGAAGGGGCCACTATACGTGGTTAAGGGTCTGAGTGTGAGAGGGTCCCTGAAGGCGCTGGTTTCTACTGTCTGTGGCAGAACGGCAGGGCAGCAGCCCCGTGCATCAGAGCGCATGCTTCTGGCCATCTGTGGTGTAAATGCACCTGCTCTTTCAACACAGCCAGTTGGTGTCACTGCCGTGACCTAGAGAGAGGCCTGGAGCCCAGATCTGGGAGCTGGTCATACGTGGGGATCTGGGTCCCCAGGTGTTGGCTGCGCTGACAGATGGTTCTCTGGTGAAGGGCAGGCCAGAGGCAGACTCTACCGGCAATGGAGTCGACAAAGTAGTGGAGCTTCCTCTTGAAC